ATAAAACTACCATTTAATAATCCCCTAATAAAACAGCCTTTGCACACGATCTTTCAAAAATGGGGCGAAACCGGTTGGTAACCTGTTTAATGGGTTAATATAACACGTGTCCCTTTGTAATTGGTTAATTGCCTTTTTTTTTTTTTTTTTTTTACAATTTGCTTATTTTAAAAAAAATAATAGAAAAAATTATTTTAATTTTTTTTTTTTTAAAAAAATGTTACCCCCACAGCCCCTACCCAGTGAAACTCCCCACCTTATTCCCACAAATCACCGACGCCAACCACTGCCGATGGGAAATCAAACAAAATCCTCCACGCGTCAGCCACCGTCGCTGGCACATTCTCTCTCCTCCTTCCGCCATACTCTCCACTCACCCCAGCCACCTTCCGCGCAACTCACTTTCTCTCTCCTCACCACCACCACCTTCGGCTTTTGGAGGGGAATGTAGGGTTGTTGGATTTGGGAGGGGAAGGTGGTGAAACTCCAACTACTTCACGATTCTCGTAGCTTGAAACCCCTCGATTTAGCGTAGGCATACGTTGGGCGAGGATGTCTATCGATCTAGGAAGGGTTGGTTACCTCGGGATTGGGGTTGATTGGTTGCGCGGTTGCGCTGCGGGAATGAAAGGGAGGGGGCTGGGTTGTTGCACTGCGGGAATGAAGGGGAGAGGGCTGAGTTACGCGGCGGTGTTGTGAGGGGAAGGAGGTTGACCAGGTTGCACCGTGGCAAGGGAAGGAGGGGTGTTGAACAAGCTTAGATCAGAGAAGGGGAGGGGGTGATTTTGTTTTTTTCCTTTTTTTAATTAAGTTTTTTAAAATTTCATGTTAATTTTTGAAAGGAAATATGTTAAAATTAAAAATCAAAAATTCTAATCAATCACAACATGACACGTGTCCAACCTTAACCTTTGAAACAGGTTACTGATTTTTAATCCTATTTTTGGAAGATCATATGCAAAAGTTGTTTTATTAGAGGGTTATCAAAAGGTAGTTTTATTTATAGCGGACCGATCAAAGGTCATAATATTCCTGTCAATTTTTCTGGGTAAATTTGTATTTTGCCTGACGTGGTGCTTTTCACACATGAGCCGAGCCTAGTCATTTGAGCTAAATAACGACGATATATTTATTTCAAGTAACGTCATTAACTGGAAAATAGTATTCGAAATTCACCGTAATGGCGGTGGTTGAAAAAGGGGATTTCATTTTTTTGTTTAATTTTTTTTTTGGAAACACGATGGGGATTGAGTTTAGATCTACTGGAGTATCCTTATTCAAGGGTTGAACATTCGAAGTGTTTTCGTATTCGCGGTTGGAATTCATATTCACAAAACCGTGGTTGTCTCCAAAATCCATTGTAAGTGCTTAATATCTTGTGCTAATTTTAAAAATTCTACTGTGAGTTTGCTGGTTAACCTAGTTGATGTCAAACCTGGTTTTCAATTTAGTTGCGGCGACCATTCTGTGGTTGTAGATCGTAAGGCTGACATAATAGGCTAACCATAGATAGTTCAATTTATTGTATTAATTTCTTCTTTATTTGTCATATTTGTGTAGTTGTGATTCTAAATTAAAATGGGTAAGTGGCCGGGAAAATTGGAGGGCAGTAAGCTCAAACAATTAAGCAGGAATTATTGTTTGAAATTTGGATAATTGATTTGAATGTCTGTTGATATGTTGAGTTCAAGCTAAATACACTGTTACAAGTTAGCTTAATTAGGTTCGACATATCTTATAAGAAGTTAATTGAATTGCATCCCGAGTTATTCAAGGTAAACAAAATACTAAGTTATCCAGTTGAAGGCCAGAGTAGGAAAAAATGATATTTGCATTGGTGTCATTGGTTATTGACAAGCTAAACTCGTATCAGATAATCAAAAGTAATTCCTAAAACCACTAACTGTAATGGATAGGGAAGTAGGGTCGAATCCACAGTGTTATTTTACTCTTAATTAATTATTATAATCTAAATTATCGAGTAACATATATAATTTTATGTGAATTAATCTAAAGGAAATAATTAAACTAAGCAAATAAAATCAAGAGAAATATCAATAAAATAAAAAGCGTAGGGCATAGGTTCACTAATAAATAATATTTTGGGATGAAAGACAACAATCAATTATTAATGCATAAATTAACCAGATTATAAAGGATTTTCGCTACGTATTACAATCACAAATTTAATCTAGCGTTATTGAATCGCATCTCTCGAATCTTGAGTTAACCATTTATAAATTAACCTGCCTATTGAAACTAAGCCTTAATATCAATTCTCATATGTTGAATCTCGAATCAATATTGCGTAACTTTGAATCAAGGGGAAGTGTTGAATGACTAATTCAAAGTTAGTTGCTATCAATAACTATATACTAAAAGACACACCAGCAATGACATGTGTCATTTTCTGGTGTGTCCCTTAGGGTTTTTTATTTTTTTTTATTTTTTTTATTTAATATCTATATAGGAAAGAAATATTATACATAATTAAAACATTGCAAAAGATTAGAAAATATTTAATTTATCCTTCCAAATATATATTGGTACCATAAACTTCTTAACCTAATTTATGACATATGTAGAGTTACGTACTACTTTACTATTAATAAAAAACAAGGATTTTTTTGAAAAAAAGATTTTTGTAGTTATTCATGTACGAAACGCTTGCCAAGAAAGATATGAAAAAATATTTTATGTCAGTTGATTATTGAGAAAAAAAATGCAACATACATAAGAGAGAATGAATAATAGTTTGCAAAAAAGAAATCTATTTATAAGTTAAATACATATTGTTAAGATTTTCATTTGATTAACAAAAACAAAACGATATAAATTTGTTAGCGAAATATATATATACGCATTTTAAAGTTTCTATTTTGCTATAAATAGACTTTCATAATAAATTCATTTTACAAATTAATAACTTAGCCAGATTTAATTTTTTATAATTAAATATAATGTTAATTAAAGAATAGTTATTAAAAATTATCGTGCATGACACGGGACCTAACCTAGTTATTTAGCTAAGTTAGTGTTAGCAGTAACTTAGGATGCTATTTTAGTGGTTGTTAGTGGGTTAGTAAGTTTAAATTTAGGAAGTGGGATTATGCTCCCTATTTTTTAGTTTGTTTTTGTTAGTATGCTACACTATTTAAATGATGTACAATGCTTCTCGTAATTCAAGTTAATCAAAATCATCTTTTGTTTTCTACTATATTATATTGCTTCAACAATAAGTTGTGCACTAACAACATAAGCAAGCGACCATTCTACCAAAAACTAAGTTTCAAATCTGAAATATAGTTTGTTAGTGTTCAGCAACATGGAGGGTGTGGGTAACACCAGCATAACTAGAACTACGTATATGAAGTAGAGCATTTTAGTTGGTCCAAGGGATCGCTTGACAACTCCAATTTTCACTGGATATGATCCCATCATCCCCAAATGCAAAGATGAAACAGCATGGGGGTTAAGGCCAATGTCAATTAACTTTGACAAAATATTGCTACTCAAGCAAGTACATGGCGTAGCTCCTGTTGATGTTGCGGAAGCTGAAACTGAAGGAGAAATCTCCTAGAGAAACTTGTTGTTGCAATGCCATATATATACTTGTCTCCAACAACAGATGATATCATGCCTCGTATCCTTGATGAGGATAAGGAATGTATGTGGGTTATGAACTTGTCTCCAAGTTCCCCACAGCCAAAGATGTAGAGGAAAAGGCTGTTTGGATACAAGAGGATGTGGTCTAGGGCCATGGGAAAAATGAAGAAATTAAATTAGGCAGTTAGAAATGGTGGAAGGCAATCCCAGGGTTTAAGGAGTCACGTACAAAAGAGGAATTTAGTGCACCAAAAGTCAATGCTGCGAAAATGGCGGATCTGTCATTATATCCGATACAGGAGGAGGAAGAAGGTGGAGACAAGGATGATCAGAAGGAGGAAGAAGGTGGAGACAACGATGATCAGGAGGATGATCCAAAATCTGGTAAGAACACAAAAGGGATTAGTTTCGGCAGTTGTTTCAGGTCATGAACTTCTCTTACCATTTTTATTGCAGTATTATATATATATATATATATATATATATATATATATATAAGGGCTAGCATTGCACAACTCTTTGTAACGTAGTTACAATGGTTTTACTTAGCAAATTGTTAATATAATGTGTTGGGTTAATGCTTTGGTCCTGTAACGCCGCTTTTGAGTATCATTGTGTTTTAAGTTTATAAGCATTAAGGCATGTATTAATGTTATATGAAGTTATTAATGTTTTATGGATTGTACCTCTCATTATGTGATGTGATGTGTAATGCCTATTTTAATATATGATGTTAGCCATATTTGAAAATATAGATAGACTATGCCTTGTAGTATACAACCTGATAGAGAGTATTAGTTTGGCCCATAGTGATCTGATTTTGAATTGGGGCCAAACTGTGCATGTTAAGTTTAGGCCCAAATAGTGTAGTTGAAGATTGGGCCCAAAGTGACCCAGTGTTTGATTTTGATTACAACTACGAATGAGGGGTGGCAATTCGGGTCAGCAGGTCGGGTTCGGGTCAGATTTCGGGTCGATTTTGGGCATGCTTAGAAACTATTAAAAATAGTGTAAAACTTAATATTATTACGAAATATGAAATTTGGGTCAAATCGGGTCGAATTCGGGTTGTTCGGGTTCGGTTTAGGTCGGGTTCGGGTCTCTCTCAGTAACTTCGGGTCGGGTTTTCGTGTCGGGTCAGGGTTTTCCAGTCCTACTACGAATGGATAGTAGTTAATAAGATAACTTCTCGGGTTCATAAGTTCAATTAAAAACTGTCCAAAGAAATGAAAAATTCGAAAATTTTATTTATCAAGCAAAAAGTACAGACTGGGTTGTAAAAGGTACTAATAATTAACTTCAACCTGAACACAGATTCATATTGCTGAATAAGATTTGATTAGTTCTTTAGAAAACCGTTTACAAAATGCAAACGAGTAGGGTACCCATAATGTTTGATTGTTAAATGATTACCCATAATGTTTTATAGGGGATGGGAGTTGGGAAGGAGGTAATCTAACTTGGACCCGAGTAACATACTTGGTGTCTGTTGTATATTCCTAATTCCTTCTTAGAAAGCAATATTTTCTATACTAACCATGTAGAGTAGACATTAGAGTTACACGTTCATGAAACTTTCATTATTCTCATATACTCCCTACAATACTAGGCTAGGAAGATGCTTATTTAGGAATGGGCCCAAAGTGTCCAACTGAAGATTGGGCCCAAAGTGAGCAGGGGTGTTCGAGTACTTTATGTTTGGTGAATTGTAAGCTACTTGGTAAAACTATTTGAAGCACAGAGATAAACACATACCTATGGGGTATTGAAGATACTTTGTTGAACATTACAATGATGAATAAAGCATACTGGTACTTAAACTAGCTAAAACAAAAGCCACGACGCCCATCGCTTGCCTAACATACAAGTGACCACTTAAGTTCATGCCCTCTGATAACTAGACACAAAGTCGCAAAATACATAATGTCATCTTATCACATCAAACTAAAACGAACATAGATTAGAGTCTAAACATTAGCTCGATATAAAACAACTGAAACAGTGGCACTGGCAATACATAAACAAATGATCCACATTGAAATTAGAACATGGGCGAAATACAAGTGGAGGTGCCTGCGACAAGACTAGCATCCTCTACAACGAACTCGACTTGGGTAGAATCTGGTATGGATTGCGTAGCAGCTTTGCGCCTGAACTGAAACACCGAAATGTCAATTATTTTATGCAACAAAGCTTGATAACCACGTCATACTAACATACATAGCATTACACAATAATACAATTGAAATTTCATTAACATACTGGCATCTTCTTTGGTTTGTTAGTTGGGATGCTTTCATTAGCACCTTTGGCCACATCTCCAGATTGTGGTACCTGTAGAAGTCAAAAAATATGTGTAACAAATATCAAAGATGAAAAGCGTATGCCTCAAAACAAAAAGCAGTTTATAGAACTACCTTTTCCTTGTTCTTATTTGCCCTTTTATACCCAATCTCAGCAAATCCCTTGTTACGCAATCCTTTCAGCCCTCCTCTTCCCCTCTTCTTAGGCACTGGGTCTTTAGGTGAGCAGTGAATATCATTTCCCTCTTCAACACTAGGCATAGTATTGAGGTTACTTGATCAACATATGGGTTTTGCACCGTAGAGTTTTTCCCATTCTCATTCGAGCAGGTGTGTTGCGCAATGGCAGCACCATCTTCCGGGAAGGTTATAGAGACGGTTTAGTCCAACTTGTGCTTAGTGCATCGGCTTACGACGGAGTGTAGTTGTTCCAGACTTGTCAGCACCGTACTCAATGTCTCATCTTCCACCATTGCTGCCTCCTCGCAGATTGGCTCAAATGCAGTCATCGTCGTGTTATACCTTTTCCACACCCCAGTCTTGGTTGGATCATGGTTGGAAACCGTAACTCCTATGTGTTTCCTTAACATGTCTTTTCACCAACGATAAAGGATATATATTGTTGTGGAATCTTGACGACTTGACTTTCAAATCGGATTCTATCACAATTCGTTAAGCCAACTCCGAACACCTTCTATAGCCTTTGTCCTGCTCAAGCGAGAGCCTATTCTGACTTGCTTTCCAACACCGTCATTGGATTGGACTTTCCGGATCCCTTTTCTTCGGGCCTTCCTTTCAGGGATACCCATTCAAAAAGCAGAAAAGCGATGTCTGTTGTCAAACTTGCTACCATAGCAACCACTTTCGTAAGCCGAGGCCCACTCCCTGTAGGATGAAACTTTATTCGGTTCTTTTGATATTGAGTCTGACTCTTATATAAATATAAACACCGATGATCCAGTACCAGACTTCGCCTTTTTGGCTACCCTTCTTCTATCAACAAACAGGAAAGTTTAGATCAAGAATACGAATGATGTTCCTACAAAATATCCCATCAGTCTCAAATTACGGCATAGCAAACAACTTTTATTTCGGCGTGGAACGTTGCTGAATAAAACCTCCTCCTATATGTGAGAACAACCTCATTCTTTCCCTATAGAACAATCCATACATGATCTTCTATAAGATACTGAACTAGGTTATCTGAGACTGTTATCTTTTCACAGGGGTAGCATTACATCAATCTACAGCATTCTGTTTGGACTTCTTGAAACTTAGTGTCTGTATATATTTTTTGGAATAACTTTTCCATCGAAAAACCACTGACCAGTCTTCTGCTCTACTTCCCACATTTTGCATCAGCATCAATCTCATCATCTACTCGCTTCTCCCCTACCTTTTCATACTTTTGTGGGAACTCAAAAACCTTTGTTTTTCTATTCAAAAATCCATCGAAAAAGTTGTTTATATTCTCGATCAACTTGTTGAGTCGTCTTCATACCTGCCCAGAAAAAGTCTCTCATGAAAGCCGGTACCCATATATGCCGTTCTTTGAATAAAATTTGAAGCCAATAATTGTTTTCTAGTTTATAGTTAACAACAAATTCATTCCATCTATTCTCGAATTCCAGGATGGTAAAACTTTCATATACCACACACTTTAGCTCGCTTTTGAATTCTTGATACCTGCATCACTGACACATAATTGAACCAGGAACATACATACATAAATTATTCATCAAAACTTTACACAAAATAATTCAATTAACTTAGATCAACATTTACCTAGCACATTTCTTAAGATTTTCCGAAAGCTTTCTCATTTTGTGCCATATGCACCAGCCGTGTCTCGTTGTTGGCATCACCTCCTCAAGGCAGCTGCCTAATCAGTGAGTATTGCTTTGGGAGTTTTTTCATTCATACATTATAACCATTGCTTAAACACCCACCGTAAAGTATCACAATCTTCGTGAGATACTAGAGCACACCCGAGCAAAATTGATTGACCATGGTGATTAACGCCTACAAAGTTGTCAAACTGAAGATCATACTCGTTTGTCAAATACGTTGCATCAAAACATACGACATCACCAAACTCCTCATAAGCAGCCCGACTACGAGCATCAACCCACAAAACATCCTTCAACCTTCCTTCGCCATCCAACCGTTGTGCATAATTAAAATTCTGATTCCCGGCTTGCATTTGTTGAAAAAATTCCATCATAGCAACGGAGTCGCCTCTCTCCATTTTCAGCCTCCTACATTTGTATACCTCATGCTCGAGATCCTTAATTGTGTACGGCAGAGGTTTAGAGCCAACCATCTCTGTGCCTATGCACCCATGAATTTGCTTCACAGTTACCCCTTCCTCAAAATAATGAAGTAGCTTCTTCCTTACTCTTGAAGTAAAGTGTTTCATTCGATACTCTATCACAAGATGAGCATCGCCAGGAATAAGTGTGTACCCATTGACCTTCCCGATTTACACTAGCATAAATATTAGCTTCACACTCACATTTCTTCGACCTTCATTTACTACGACTCAACTCATCCACTCCCACCACTCCACCTATGACTCCACCTGAACCACTCACATCCATCACTTTTGCCCTCTTTTTGGCTTCTCGTTGTGCCCTCATATCGGGTCTCCCATAACACTCACACCTCCATGTCTTAGATATTCAGTCCCTCCCCTCACCCTTGGAATACAAACCCTGCACCCTATTCACTTCAAATCAATTTTGCTTTGCATACTACTTATAATAAGCTTCGACCTCTTCCCATTTCTTAAATATCATCCCAACCTTTGGTGCTTCCACGTAACTAACTACACTAACATGATTATTAGCTACTACTATTTGTACTGTCTCAACCGTTTTTATTGGGGATACGTACTGCATCCCCTCATCATTGTCTACATTGGGTTCTCCCCATCGACATAAGGAACCAACACATAGCAGTTCTCTTGACACCCAATCATTCGATCCTCCTGCTACAAACTACTACAGCCCCGAACCCCACTACCCTTATCTTGCACTCCTACTTCATCCGATTCTTCATTTGTAACCAACTACTTGTTAATTTCAGTACATAAAGTGAATCACAGCCTTTTATAAACATCAGAACTGAATTTTTGATTCTACCGCAATATGAATGACAGAATTTTAAGAGAATAACATTCAACAAACAAATCAAGAGTTCCAAATTCATTACAGGAAACCCAAGTACCCAACCCCCAGTATATATATGTTCCTAATTCCTAATTGATTAACACAACCTCTTCTTCTTAAAGCTCACTAAATATTTAATACTGACATGTCTAAACTTAATTTATAAGTAATGCCTGATTTGCAGACTTGGTCCTTCACATTCAACTAACATATTTGTTGGTAAATATGATATTGATAAAAAAAATAAAGGAAATTTTCCATATTCAAAGCCATGATTTAAACCTTCAGACCCTATAATGTTTTACAGTAAACAACCAACTTAAAATTTGATTCACTCTAGATAAGACTCTAGCAGTAAATATTGCAATCAGGTAATCACCTAATTAGAAGCACACAGGGGCATCCACGAAAATGGAATATATCAATTTGATTCACTTTAGATAAGACTTACTTCCATTGACAATCCCCATTATCATCGACTACGAATAGTCGCTAGTATATATATCTGCCCGTTGATATTTAGTCTCTCCCAGAAAATGCTTTACTGATTTCCTTTCCACAAATTCATATTATTTTTCAAAAGATGACCGCAAAATAACATCTGGCTTTATGGCAGACAAAGTGTTAAAAAATATTATGAACTATCTACACTGTATATTCATATTAACGCGCATCTTATAATCAAATTAGCTAAATCATTTATATAACGACACCATTGACTTCTGCAATTTTGCACTTTTCTAACAAAATCGAGCTATAACTCAGCTATTGCAATCTCAATTAATTTTTTGCACAATTGCACTCTTCAAACTATATCCGCATATACTCCACTATTGCACAATCAAATCAAACTTACCAGAAAACCTGACTAGACCGGCGTCTTTGCGCACTTTTACATACCACCTTCCTCCTCATGTACCATTCGATCTTCTTAAACCCATCAACATTGTTCTTCATCAAGATTTGCCCTCCGCCGGGATTTATAAGACAACTACTAGCTACTATTTCCATGTGCTAATAAGTTCGGGCATTAAATGAGACCTTCACGACTTCACTGAATTGCTAACATTGTCAAAAATTAATCTAACAGAGTTTTTTCAACGTTGCATATGTGGCAACAACAACTGTAATACCCCGTATTTTTGAAACATATTTTCTAATTAATTAATATTTTTTAAAAAGGGTATTTCAGTAATTTATTTTTACTATTGGATTTTGGAGCCAAAATGATATTTGAATTTCGGTGCCAAAAAAAATTTTAAAACTCAATTATTATTTGGATTTTGGATAAGATTTATAATCCAGTTATTTTATTTTAAAAACCGAATTATTTATATATATTTCGGATATTTTAATTAAGCAAATTTATATTTTATTATTTAATTAATAGGGCCGAAAATTCCTAATTAATTAGCTATGATTCTCAGATTTTCTTAGTTAAATTATTTAGTGAATTATTGATATTTTTCTAATTTATTATTTTCTACAAAATATATTATTTACACAATCATTTTTATTCCTTAAAAAATAGCAAAATAATTGCCTAAATATTTAAAGGGAGGTCCAAAAATATGAGCTTAGGAAAGCTCAAATTTTCGGCCACCATATTGTATTTTGAGTAAAATTATTTTGGTAATTTTTGTATTTTAATTATCTTCCTTAATTCTTATTTTCCATCTTATTTCCCTACCTTAAATCATTCTTGATTATTCCCCAAGAAAAGTCATTTACCATTTAATATTTCATGACTACATACTTACCTTATTTCTTCATAACCTAATCACCATAACCTAGACTTTCCATAATTCTCTAGCTCTCTTCTCCAAGTAATTTCCTGAAACCAATTTACCATAATTCTTCCTACATTCTCGTACCATAATTCTTACATGAGCTAGCTTATAAATACCCCCTCATACCTCTCATAATCTTCACACCAAAACCCAATTCTCTTCTTCTCTCTTATTCTTCTTTTCCCTCAACCTTTCCCTATTTTTCTTTCTACTCTTTTCATACATAATCAGCCCGTATATCTTTGGAGCCAATTTTTGGACACTTCTGGTCAGTTTTGGGGTTTTTCTATTTCACAAAAAATTATTTCTCTCAAAAATCCTTAAGGTTAGGCTCAAGAATCATCTAATTTGGAGTTATATCGAAGGAGTTATGGCCTCTGCAAGTTCTGCCTATTCTTTCCAACGTAAATTCAATTCTCTTTAATCCTATTCCTTTATTTTCTTTATGGTTAGTTTTCTAAAATATAAATACCTATTTCAAAGCTATAAGTTTGTATTAAAGTATTATTTTTAAGAGAGTTTATAGTCCATGCACATTAGATTTGGGTTTATGTCTAAAGATGTTGTGATAACCTTATGATTATTTTAATTGCAAGGAGTATTCATGATTGTACTTTGAAAGTGCAAAGTGTTAATTGATATTCAGAACCAAGGTACGTTTAGGTGGCTAGATAACTTTGAAATTGATTGGATTGAATAAGCATGTTTTACATGATTTTTATGATGATTGAATTAATCATTATTTTATGCAATAAAGCATGTTTTAAAAATTAGTTTTAAATTGGAGGATTGATTTTATATCATGTTTTGAATGGTTTGAAATTATTATGTTTAAAGGAGTTTTTTTTTTTTAAAAGTATGTTGGATCGTTCTAAAAGAGTTTTTGAAAAAAAAAACAGTTTTTATAAATAAATTGGAGAATTGGTTTTATATCATGTTTTGAATAAAATTATTTATCATGTTTTAAAAAGGTTTGATTTGAAAGCAAATAGAAGGAGTTTCGAATTATGTTGGAATTTTGAAATTAGAAAAGTATTCATTGAATTAAAGAGGTTTATTGAATTAAAAGTTTTACAAGCATGTTGATAGTAATCCCACTATGCGGATTTGGTAGATAAGACTTTGGACGTTGTATGACCGAGTCTTTCCTCAAGAATAGCCTTGAAATAGTAGGAGACTAGCTTGGGGGTTATGCACACTTGGGTGACGAATTGGTTTTCAAAAGAGGAATTGGTTTTATAAACCATTTTATCGAATTATTGAATTATTTGAATTGGTTTTGAATCATGAGTTTTGGAATTATATTATTGGAATTGGTTTTGAAATTTTGAGTTTGGAATTTATTTGATTAACATTGGAATTGGTTTTTAAAAGCATGTTTGCAAAAATTTGAATATACTTATCTTGCACTTATCGTACTTAGCATATTTTGCTAATCCATATTTCCTATTTGTTTTGGTTCGCCCTATTTACCTTAATGGTAAGCAGTGTTGGCTATTTTCAGGTGGAGTCAATATTTGAGCATATGAGATTACGGGATGTTCTTCACCCATATTAGGAATGTTGGTCTTTGTTTATTTATGAGTACTCATGACAATGGTTTCTATTTATAGTTATTATTAATAAAGAAAGAGTTTGAATTTCTGCTGCAAATTATTGGTCTTGGTTAGTAGTTTTGGTAGCCTTGCGTAATCACGCGGCGGTAATACGCCTAAGTCTATCTCTACTGTATAATTATACGTATTATACTGGTATTTCCGTAGAGGGAGATTTGGAGGTGTTACAACAACTTAATCTGAGTCACCACTGCTGCCTTAGTATACTTGTACGCCTCCACTAGACAGCCTACATGTGCATTACACTGTTCGCGTTATTTACGAACATGCCACAAGATGAACAAGGAATGTTCATCATAAAGATGAATGGGGGCGCCTTCCTACTCCTTCTATCCCAAAATAACTAACACAATCAAACTTTGCAAATATGTAGTTTGACCTTATTTTTATATAATTTAATATAAATGAAAATTATAAATATAATTGTCATATTATGAAACTTTATATAAATACATATCTAACAACATATTTTATGATAATTTTTTTTTTTATTATGTTAGTAAAACTATAATCAAAGTTATTCTTTAGTGACTTTGATAACATTTTAGACAACATTCTATTTGTGTGTTCGTCTTTTGATTTCATGGGTTTGTCTCATGTAAAGCAGGAGAGTAATTTTTGTAACACATCATTTAGCTAGAGTAGTACCTTCCGGGGTTGAACAAGTATGGGTTAATCATTGCCCGGATGAAATCTCTCCATATGTACTCATGGACAATTTGGCTACTAAGTAATATAACTCTCTAGCTTTACTTAATAAATAAATAAATAAAAATAAAAATAAAAAAAAGTTAATATATGAATAGTGAAAAAAAGTCAAATATGTCAATTATTTTGGGACGGAGGGAATATGAGAAAACATTTATGAATAGTGTGAGGACAATTAAATTTTTAAAATGTTTGTTTACCTATATGCCCCTATTTATATGATGTTAATTGTATCTAATTTTTTCCTTGTGTGATGAAATAATTTAACGCTTATGAATAGTGTTTGGACAATTATACCTTGTAATGCAATTATTTACTTATCTGCCCTCTTATGAATAATTTTAATTGCCTTTTTGTTGGGAAATTCTTAAAAACAGTGCAAACATTTATACCCCTAAAAAACATCTGTTTACATATTATTCGTTTTCCCTCATTAATGTTGCCAACAACTAAAAGGGCTCTCTAATCATGACATGCTACGGTTCATGCATTGCGAGCATTAGCCATCCTAGTGTTTACATAGGACTGTATGTTTGACTTTACCACAATCCTCCAAAATCTCAATACTCAAATCTTATGTATTTTACTTTTTTTTTAGCAAACATAAGTAAAAAAAATTATCAATATCTACTCCAAAAACTTTTTCTACACCCGATTTACAATAACATTGGTGTACATCGAATACTATTAGAATAACTGTTAGGGTAACTATTTGCCTTTTTGGACAACTTTAAACTTGAAATGAGTTTAATGTATGGGATAAGTTTTATAAGGATAATTTAATTAATTTTTAGGAATTTTGATTTTTACTAAAAGAAAAAACCCTCGTTCCTTCCATCGACGTCATCGAACCCCATTAGCAATCCAAAAGAATTGGAAGCTTGAAACGACCGGTCAAAGGAATTTAATATATTGGCTTTCCCGCCTAAAATTGAATTCACCACCACTGTGGGGTCCACCACATACACGTGTCACTAATATATTAAATAAAAAAAGAAAAAAAAAATCCTAAACACAAACCTAGCCACCACCCCAATCACCTACCGGCAGCCCTACCCCCACCATCGGCACCCCTCTCCCCACCCCACCCCGGAATCCCCTCCCTGACCGACGGAACCACCCTAGCATAAAACCCGACACCAAATGGAAATTCCCATCAATTAAAAAAAGACTAAAATGTTTAAATTCTTGTCTATGACCCATAAAAAAATAATAATTCATCACGGGGTGACGGGCTCGACCTGATTCCAAGCCGAATTTTTATGTTTGAGACCGAAAAATTTAATTTTAAGAATCGGTGACCAGATCGATTAGACTAAGATCGGACCTGATCCGGACCAGTTTAAGAATATTTTTAAAAAAGTTTAATGATATAATTAAAAAAAAGTCGAAAAGATATAAAGGAAAAATAACTTTTTAATGTCTTTTTGTAAGTCTAATACAAAAAAGCTCATAAAATTAAAGTTTTCCTAACTTATTAAGAATAGTCTTAACCGTTTTAAAGATATTATGCATAATTTTAAGCAAAAAAATTGGTCCGGTCCAAGATCGATTTTTAAGGGGTTTTGAACCAGACCGAACCGAAGACAGAAAATATTATTTTCTTGAACCGAAGATCAAACCGGTTAATTTGGTTCGATTTGGGGTTAGTCCGGTACGATTTGGTCCATTTTTTTGGTCCAAACTGGTTTTAGAACACCACCCTTACTTATACATAATAACATACAATACATGTTTATATAATAATTTAGCAGTTAATTTTTCAACTTTTAATCACAAGCTTTCAAATCTTTGATTCTCACTAGTCACCATAGGCTCCCAAACCCTCTATAAGGCAGAAGATCTAAAACCCCTATCAAGTATCAAGCCCTCTTGATCACCTAAAGGGATTATTAGACAAACTTGATTGGTGATCATATAATGAAGAATATGAGGGAACAACAACACATTATTAGGGAATGAATTGAAG